TCCCCTTTTTACCTTCTGCCAGTAAATCCTATGGCCACAAAGCGGGCGGCCGCGGACGGAGAAAGGGCAGCCGCGATGCCGCGTCTGGGTGCCAGCAGTCTGGGTGCTGGTTCTTTTCGGGCTTGTGTTTTGTGTGTGATTGTGCAGCTTCTCGCTGGGTGCTGTGTGCCTGGAGGTTTAGCTTGTTCCTGCTTTGTTTTGCTTGAGGCACTTTTTACCTTCTGCCAGTAAATCCATTGACCGCCGCCGACAAGGAGCCGGCGTTGCCCGGGGGTCCGCCTGGGGCAGCGGACGGAGGGAGGCTGGACACAGGAACACGGTACCGCTCGAGGTAGTCCTCCTCGCTAGCCTCCGAGTCAGCGGTACCCGTGACGGCGGCGACGCCGCAGCAATGCTCAAGGACCGGCGTGACCCGACCGATGCCGGGGAGGAAGCAGGCGAGCTCGGTCCAGCAGCAAGCACCCCAGTGGTGTCGAGCTCTCCGGAGGCACCCGACGTCACAGTCACAGGGACGGAGACGCCTCGCTAGCGGAGTCCGCGCCGGTCGTCGGCGCCACTCGAAGTGTTTCCCCCATCGGAGTCGGAGACCTCCGGCGACTCGAAGACTCCTCCTCGGGCGACTCGACAAAGTCCGAGGAGGAGCTGTCCTCTGGCTCGAGAAGTGCTTGCGCCCGCAAGGGCGTCATGCGCCTCGCACCAGACAAGAGCGCCTCCAGCGTCAGCTGCATAGTGAGGCGCTGATAGGTGGCGGCGCGCTTGCGAGCCAAGACCTCAGCAGCAGGTCCATCATCAGGCACGAAGTGCCGACCAAACGCCGCATCCTCAAGAGGCATCGAGCGCTGAGCAATGATGTCCGCCAGATACCAGATGAAGCGGAGGGTGTCAGGATGCAGGGTACCGTCCGTCGAGATGGCAAGAGGGATGAACGCTCGAGGAGGTAATGGATTTACTGGCAGAAGGTAAAAAGTGCCTCAAGCAAAACAAAGCAGGAACAAGCTGAACCGGCAGGCACACAGTCCACAGCGAGAAGCTGCACAATCACACACAAAACACAAGCCCGAAAAGAACCAGCACTGCTGGCAACCAGACGCGGCAGCGCCAGCCCAAGCGCGAAGCCGCGCAGACAAGCAGCCTAAGGGTCAAGCAATCAAGCAACAAGCAGCAGGAGCATGCAGGAGGAATAAAATCCCTTAGACGCGATACCCGGAGGCAGCCGACTGACCACTGTCAGTCGAGACGTTCCCTGCCGCCACAAAGCGGGCGGCCGCGGACGGAGAAAGGGCAGCCGCCGACAAGGAGCCGGCGTTGCCCGGGGGTCCGGAGGGAGGCTGGACACAGGAACACGGTACCGCTCGAGGAGGAGTAGTCATGGCATATGCAGCGCGATGTTTGCGAATCTTCTCAGACGCTGCAACATGGAGGGCGTCGAGGTTGACCTCCCCCCACTTGGTCAGGTCGGCAGAGCTACCAATGTAAGGGTGGACCAACGTCACGTCCGCCATCAAGCCCTCGTACTGCTCGGACCCTCGATCGCGGATTCCAGGGATGTGGATATCGCCCTTCATCTTGCGGCCATGAGGATGGGAGGGTACCTGCCGTCGAGAACGAGGATCCCCGACTGTATCGATGACGCTCTGAAGACCAGCTTCGTTCAGCATCGACCGAATCGTACGAGTAAGGTTGTCATGCGCCGTGGGAAGCTTGGAGGATCGGCGTTTGCAGGTCTGGAGATGATGTGCAGCAACGGAGGGATCGAGCTCGCGCTGACATCCATCACATTCCGTCGGACACTGGCAGATCGGCATGCCATGGAGATAGCAGTCGAGCATCTGAGCATAGCGGTGCGGGAAGGCCTTGAGGAGGTAGTAGCTCGAGACTCGCATCGGAGAGTGGCTCAGGTCACGCTCAGGAAAATGAGCAAAGATGGTAGACTGCAAGACACTGTGTGTTTGTGCAGCTTCTCGCTGTGGACTGTGTACCTGCCGGTTCAGCTTGTTCCTGCTTTGTTTTGCTTGAGGCACTTTTTATCTTCTGCCAGTAAATCCTATACCTTGCAGACCCTATCCTGCGGGGCAACGTCCGTGACATGGGCTGGTCAGAGTACCAAGCGAGGAAGCGAGCGATAGCCGTATAGTAAACAGCGGGGTGTAGACCCTCAGAGGGCGTGAACTCGTCCCCTCCCCGACTATGCGGAAGCTCCCGCTTGAACCTCGCAAACTCTAGCAGGTCGGGATGCGCGGCGAGGTACTGCGAGGAAGGCCAGCGGTGGTACGGTATTTCTCAAGCGCCAGGTGGACAGAGAGATCAAAGCGACGAATCTGTGATTGGACCCGCGGGAGAAACGGAGATGACCCCTGAAGGAAGAAGCGCAGCTTCTGGAGATGGCTCGCCCTCACCAGCGTCTTGAACATGAAGCCATGCTGGACGAGCCCGAGCTTCGAGAGCTCTTTGTTGAGGGTAGAAACCTTCGCTCGGAGCTGACTAGCATGAAATCCATCCGTGCCGATAGGCAGGCCGCCAAGTGTAATCCCGCCAGTGACGACCTCGAAGTGAAGAAGTTGAGTCTTGAGACGGCGCTTAAGGCTCTTCTTCAGCTGCGAGAGATCAGGGTGTTGATGCCAGGAGGGGATGTAAACTTTCGACTCGCGAGGTTGAATCTCTAGCTTCAGATCAGCCACCATGTACTTCTTCATAGCGGACGTAGCTGCAACGGCATCCTCGAGTGGACCGACAAGTACGACGTTGTCAGCATAGGCCAAGACTCGAACAGAGGGAAAAAGAGTCTGCGATATGGAGGAGCAGGGGGTGGATACTGTGGCAGAAAAATACGCTGGAGGGGACATCGCCCTGACAGACGCCCGGCCGAGGTACACTGAACGGAGGCTGACTGACTTTTGTGAAAGAGTCGAAGGTCAGCAGAGTCTCCATAGTAGCTGGAGAGGTAGGAGGCGAACAAACGGAGATGCTCGCAAAGGGTGTCAGTGATAGGATATGTTTACTGACTTCCTGTCTTTCTTAAGTAGGTGTCCTAGGCAGTCTCGTTTCTTAGGAAATTAGATTACTTACTTTTCTTTATCTCTAACGTGGATTTGGAGTAAATTGCCGTTGAATTGTGCATTGCTGTCGCGCGCTTGCTCTTTGGTTTCTTGACGGGATCACTTCGTGTGTCAACACTGGATCGAGAGATACTTTTAGGAAGTTTTCCTAACATTTTGGTACGCGAAGGCCTGGTTTTCCTCTCGGAGTTGTTGTGTTGAAAGAAGTTGTTCAAGAAAACATGGATAGGACGAGCATTCAGTCAGGTAGCGTTGTCTCGGACTTCATGAGTCGAAGCATGTCGCGGTTGGGCAGCTTTGTGAAGGAGACATTGAATGGGTCAGCAGAGCCGCGCTTTCCTACGGTGACAGGCATGTCGCCGCAGTCACATGCGTACGATCCGTCGGAAACTGTCATCCAGCAGGAGGCTGTTGTACGTGACGATAGTGTTGACAGTGGTCGTACAGTGCCTTCATGGTTGGAGAGTAGGGATGAAAACGAAAGAGATGGTCCCGCCCTTCCCTTGAAGGCCAGTTTTCGTGACATCGTGGAAGAAAATGAGCACCTACGCCGGACATGTAGAGAGCTCAGGTCTGTGGAACAGAACAACATGGATAAGATGCACAATCTCGTAAATGCACTCGCAGAATCCCAGAGAGAAGCTGATCGCAAACTCCAGGATCTTGTGAGGGCACTTGAGGAATCCCAGCGAGAGAACCGTAGGCTTGCCAAGGAGGCAGCGGAGATGCGTGTACTGCTTTGTGAGCGGGTTCGGGAACCCGAGGACAAGCCTCACAAGCTTAAGCATGCGGAGAATGACGGTGGTCAGATTTGCAAGCTGGATCCGAAGTCATTGTTGCAGTACAATGGTGAGCAGACCATGGAGAGGTCGGTGGTCTCATGGCTCGGATATATCGAAGGCAGGTGTAAATTTCACCGTATAGCACGCCATCGATGGGTAGGAGCGGCCATCTCTGCGTTCGGGCCGGAGGTGCAGCTATGGTGGGCTACACTCCCGATGGCTGAGCAAGATCAGTTCTCAGCTGAGCATGGTGATTGGGAACAGTTTGTGGAGAAACTGTTGTTGAAATGGTTACCGTTCGAGTTTATTGAGAAACTTGAGCGTCATGTGCAGAAGCAGGCTAGGCAAGGGCCCAAGGAGTCCGTCGAGGCGTACACCGCAAGATTCCAGGCGATGGTTACACACCTGCAGGCGTGCTACCTTGTGTCCAAGAGACCTAGTGTCGCGCTAGGTAGCTGGGAACGCGCCTTTGTCGATGGGATTCAAATGGACTATGCGCGTGCCATGCTACGGAAGGAATTGAGCATGCTGATGGAACGCGATGGTAAGACGTTTGGGATTACTTATCATGCGGAGCCGTCGGAGATGGGCAAGTATTTGCCGCAGTTGTATCGCGAAGCTCTTAATCTGCGTCAGAGACACCCACAAGACGGTCAGACGAGTCTTCATTTCACCCAAGCACAACCTCGTCATGAGGGCAAGCGGTCGGCTCCTACTCAGAGCGAGGACATGCAGGGCAAGGAGAAGAAGTTCGACAAGAAGAAGGTGAAGTGCTACAACTGTCAGAAGTTCGGTCACTTCAGAGACAAGTGCCCTCTCTTGTCGAGGTCTGAACAACCGTCAGCTTTAAACCAGTGACGTCGGTTGCCGCGGAGGGCGCAATCGACGGGGGCACGGGTTTGCAGACTTCGAATGTTGTCTTCGACCCGGGCACACCTCCGCCAGAAGATCCTAGGGATGTTCGTCAATGTCGTATCACCGTTGACTCTCACAGGATCAAAGCTCTACCTATGGTACCTGTGACCTTTCGGTTCGGGAATCAATCCATAGTTCTTAATGCATTGCTCGATACCGCTGCTGAAGAGTCGTTTATCAGCACGAAGGCAGTGCGCAAATTTGGTCTGTTGGTCACGGATGCAGAAGTTCGCAAACGAGTTATCATGGCCGATGGGACTAGTAGGTTGTCTGATATGGTTTTCCAGACAAAATTGGGCGTAGGCTCCAGTTTCAAGAGTAGTGGGTCGTTCTACATGCTTGACTTGCCGCATGCGGACATGATCCTCTCATGGGAATGGATGCGTGCGAACAAGATCGTGATTGATGCGGGTCACCCCAGAGTCTTTGCCAAGTGGCGCAAGAAGATGGTCGAGCTTCCGTTACTTGTTTGCCCGACAAACAAGCAATTCGGGGCTGCGGACGCCTCGCTGTGTCAGGTACTTTCTTACACTGAGGCAGTGAGAGACCTCAAGCAGAACGATTCGGAATGGTACGTGGTACATTTGTGCAACCTGTTGGAGATGGCTCAGCCGACAGATGGTGCCACGAGTCTCGAGCAGAAGGCGGCCGAGACGATCATGGAAGATTATTCGGATGTCATTCGTGATGACATTCCCAGCGACGTTGTTCTTGACCGGTCCTTCAAGGCGACGATTCGACTCAAGGATAACGTTGAGGCGGTGCAAAAGAAACCTTACCCTGTGCCACTCGCGTTGGAGGAGGAGTTGAAAGCGAATCTTGCCTTCTTGTTGGAGCGTGGGATCATTGAACCTTCGACGTCTGAGTTTACGTCTCCCGTAATCTTCACAAAAAAGTCTGATGGTACATTGCGTTTTTGCACTGATATGAGGTTCGTTAACAGCTTGATCCGGAATGATAACTTTCCATTGCCGTTGGTGATGGAGCTGATAGAACGAGTGGGTCGAAAGATCATGGAAGAGAGAGCGCGTTATGCTTCAGAACCTGGGGCACGGTTGTGGATCAGCTCACTCGACCTGGCGAAAAGTTTTTGGCAACTTGAGTTGGACGCCGCGTCGAGGAAGTACACCTGTTTCATCACGAAGTTTGGGAAATATCAGTATCGGAGGATTCCTTTCGGCTTGGTAGATTCGGCAAATCAATTTCAGAAATTTCTCGAGAGTGTTCTTCAAGGTCTCGAGAATTGCCTGAGCTATATCGACGATGTTTGCTTGATCAGTTATGGGAGCTTGGAGAGACATGAGCGTTTGCTTCGACAGGCTCTGGATCGCTTTCGCAAAGAGCAGTTGTTTGTCAAGAAGTCGAAATGTAAGCTGTTTCACTCTGAAATTGATTTCCTCGGTTTCCACATCAGCGAGGCAGGCGTCTCGACACAAGAGAAAAAGGTACAAGCGATTGTGGATCGTACGGCACCTCAGGCAGTGAAGGAACTCAAGTCGTTTTTGGGAGTGTTGAACTTTTACAGGAAGTATGTGCCGGATTACGCAGCGTTAGCACTTCCGCTAACGAATCTCCTACGCAAGAATGTGAAGTTTTGTTGGGATGACGCGCAAGAGGCGGCCTTTCAGGAGCTGAAGAAGCGTTTGATATCAGCCCCTGTTTTAAGGTACTTCAACCCAGCGTTAGCTACTTGCGTGTTGGTCGATGCGAGCGACTACGCCATTGGTGCTGTCTTGACACAACAGCATGGCGAAGATCTGTTGCCTGTCGCCTTCTTCAGCAAGCGTCTCAACAGTGCCGAGGTAAATTATTCAGTGCGCGAGAAAGAGCTTCTGGGATTGATTGCAGCATTGGTTCATTTCAAGTTTTACTTGTACGGACGCAGGGTGTTGGTTCGTACAGATCACAAGAGTCTCAAGTATCTTCTTACGCAGAGCAACCTCACGGGTCGATTGTTTCGATGGAGTCAAATTCTTGCTGATTTCGATTTGGATGAAATCTCCTACATTCCTGGAGAAGAGAATGTCATCGCTGACTACCTATCTCGTCCGAACGATTCTACGGTTGTGCCGTCACAGAGTGCGTTAGACGATGAGATTCGACAGCGTGCTGATTTGGTCAACTTGGATCCTACCTTGCTTTGTACCATCTCGTCCTCTGGGGAGGGGGAGGTGATGGAGGTGACTGACAGTGATGCAGAGGTTGTTACGCACTGCTACGCTCTAGCAACAGACAACGCATTTACAGCTGATGTCGTCAAAAATTATCAGCAGGACAGATATTTCGCGCAGGTTCTCCAGGACATTCAACAGGGAAACCTAGTCCCAATGCAGCGTCGAACTTATTTTCTGCGAGACGGAGTCTTGTTTTGGAAGGACTCGCTTGGTCGGGAACGTGTGTGTATTCCTTATCATTCTCGAGCGAAGTTCTTGCGCCTGATTCATGACGATTCTTGCCATGTAGGGAAGACGAAGACTTTCTTGAAGGCGTCGCAAATTGCCTTCTGGCCGACCATGAGTAAGGACGTCGCGAACTATGTCAACTCGTGTGCGGAGTGCTTGCAAGGCAAGAGTTACAAGCAACGAGCGGCTGGCGAACCGCACAGTCATTTGGTTCCGCGTGAGCGATTCGAGAAGATTTCAGTGGATTTGCTTACAGCGCTGCCCACCTCGAAGCGGGGAAACGACAGTGTCTTGGTGTTTCTCGATCAGTTTTCCAACAGGGTGTTCTTGTATCCGTGTAAGAAGACGATCACATCGAAAGGAGCAGCTCGTGCGTATTTCGAGACGGTTTATCGTGCTCAAGGGATTTGCAAAACGTTGGTCTCGGACAACGGGAGTTTGTTTTCTTCAGAATTTTGGACTGAGTTGTTCACTCTCATGGGAATCGACATACGCCATAGCAGCGTTTATCATCCGCAGTCGCAGGGACGAGTTGAGAAGTTCAACAGTGTCATAGTTGAAGCCTTGCGGATCTACTGCATGCGGCACGATAGCAAGTCTTGGGATGATTATCTCGTACATCTGGAGACAATTTGGAATACGACCGTTAGAGATGCGACGAATCTTACGCCGTTTGAGATCATCTATGGCAGAGACGTTCGTACAGTTTTGGACCTGACTCCTGACGATCGTGCTGAGGACGTGGAGGAAGTACGTGACAAGATCATGGCAGCCGTCGACTTGGCTCGCGATGCGTTAACGTTGTCAGCGATTCAGAAGGAGAAGACTATGAAGCGATCTCGGAAGGATCTGCAATTCAATGTTGGCGACTTCGTTATGTTGTCGACGCGCGATTTGAAGTTGCATGAGTCCATGGGCAAGATGAAAATTCGTTTCATTGGACCTTTCAAGATACAAGAGAAAGTTTCAGATAACTCTGTGCGCTTGGAGTTCACACCGCGTTTTCAACACATGAAGAAAACAGTTTTCAACGTGGCGAAACTTCGTCCTTACTATTTTCGGGATGTTTCCTTGGATGAAATTGAACCACCACCGTTGCCTTTGGTTCAACGCGATGGACAGTATTTTGAAGTCGATCGTATTTTGGCTCGTCGTGGGAAAGGTAATCGTGTGCAGTACCTGGTTCGTTGGAAAGGATATGACAAGTCGTCGGATGATTCTTGGTTGTCTACGCGTGAATTTCGCACTCCAGAGTTGAGGAAAATGATTCGTGATTTCAATCTTGTGAATGCTAAATGATTCTTGGTGTTTGCAGCGAAGTTGGAGCTGAGAAGTGTGTTCTCATCTATCAGCGCTAGGGAGCGAAATGATAGGATATGTTTACTGACTTCCTGTCTTTCTTAAGTAGGTGTCCTAGGCAGTCTCGTTTCTTAGGAAATTAGATTACTTACTTTTCTTTATCTCTAACGTGGATTTGGAGTAAATTGCCGTTGAATTGTGCATTGCTGTCGCGCGCTTGTTCTTTGGTTTCTTGACGGGATCACTTCGTGTGTCAACGCTGGATCGAGAGATACTTGTAGGAAGTTTTCCTAACAAGAAGGTAAAAAGTGCCTCAAGCAAAACAAAGCAGGAACAAGCAACTGGGGTACTCGAAGATTTACTGGCAGAAGGTAAAAAGTGCCACAAGCAAACCAAAGCAGGAACAAGCTAAACCTCCTGGCACACAGCGCACAGTGGCAACCGTCAGCAGACCCGGCATCGCCAGCCCAAGCGCGAAGCAGCCGAAGGGTCAAGCAATCAAGCAACAAGCAGCAACAAGCAGCTTTGTTTTGCTTGAGGCACTTTTTACCTTCTGCCAGTAAATCCGTATCTTTTTTAGCAGCAGGAGCATGCAGGAGGAATTCCTCCTCGCTAGCCTCCGAGTCAGCGGTAGCCCGGTAGACCAACACCGCCCGTGACGACGGCGACGCCGCAGCAATCATCCGGGCGGCCCAAGGACCGGCGGGACCCGACCGATGCCGGGGAGGAAGCAGGCGAGCTCGGACCAGCAGCAAGGCCTACGGATTTACTGGCAGAGCTAAAAGCAGCAGCCGCAAAGCTGGCCGGGCCGCGGACGGAGAAAGAGCAGCCGCCGACAAGGAGCCGGCGCTGCCCGGGGGTCCGCCGGGGGCTGAGCGGACAGAGGGAGGCTGGGCACAGCCTGAGCACGGTACCGCTCGAGGTGACGCAGCAAGCACCTTCTGCGAATAAAACTTCACGGCACCAGGGAGAGTACCTGCCGTCGAGACCGAGGATTCCCGACCGTGGCAGTGTATCGAGGACGCAATGGAGGCCGGCTTCGCTGAGCATCGCCTTGACTGTTCGAGTAAGGTTGTCATGCGCAGTAGGTCTGGATCTGAGCATGATAGCGATGCGGGAAAGCCTTGAGGGCCCGGGATACGGTAGCTCGAGACCGGCCTTGGTTTTGTGCCCATGAGGATGGATTGAAGATTTAGAGCACACATAACACAGCAAATCACAAGACCGAAAGTAACCAGCATTGCTGGTAAAAAGCCATCGACGGCCAAGGAGCCGGCGCTGCCCGCCGGTACTAATGATTGTCATGATGAGGGCGTTCGCACAAGGTAAAAAGTGCCTCAAGCAGAAGAAAGCAGCAACTGTGCCGGTATAGGCTCACGTCGGGGGGGAGAGCTCGGACCAGCTGCAGCGTCCGACAGCGGCGATGAACGCACTACCCTGAGACGAACGTCGGGCCGGAGCAAGCCTCTCACAGCAAAATGCTGATGGCCTACATGTGTAAGTTCATGGATGTCTCAGTCAGAAGCTCAGGGAAATACGGTTCAATTGTTGCAGACAAGTGCGGCAGACAATTCGGCCAGCAGCAGAATCGACACTACCGGTAGAATCCAAGCTCCGAAGACCAGAAAGCAAATGTTGCTGAGCGCAGAAAGACACCAATGGTTGCAAGCTGAGCTTAAAGAACTCAACGGCAGTAGTGTGGGAAGAAGTGGATTATCCCAGAAACCGAAAGGCGAAGATCGCTCCATTCCAATTTGAAATACAATACTGAAGGTGAGATTGCGAAATTTAAGGCGAGGTTGGTCATCCTGGGCAATCTAGTTCCCACTGATGGTCCAGTATATGCTCCAACGTCAGATTTCCAGAACGTTAGGCTCATTTGTGCAATTGCCGCTGGAAACACCTGGTTGTTGACGATGCGAGATATTTCGACCGCGTTTTTGAATGCAGATATCGACGAGGAAATTTACATGTTACCTCCAGAACAGCTCGCCTTACCAAGGGGAAGACTACTTCGTCTGAAGAAGAGCCTGTATGGCCTGTCAACCAGCCCGCGGAGTTGGTTCAAATCACGTTTTCACGAAGACTCTGAAGAAGATGGGATGTCTCAGCCTGTATCAGAGCCCCACAGGAAAAAGAACCCCAAAACCAACAAGCGAACGTAATGTGGTTACTATCGTCCTCCGGGCAGGCTGAGATATGCCGCCCTTGCACAGAAAGAAGGCTAGTAGGCCGCTTCTGCCGTCCGAGATTGATTAAACATTCCTGTTAAGGTCGATTGGCCTCCTGATCGGACCGTCTAGAACGTATCATTGTGAACAGATTCACGCGTTCAGATGTCAGACGTAGTTTCGGGTCCGTTGTAGGAACAATAATCCAATCATTGTCTGAATCGTCATATTTGATTTTCAAGTAAAATGCCCCGTTTCCCGCATTTGAAGATTGTTGTGCAGTTGTACCTTGTTCGCCGATCCAGAAGTAGCTCCAGTTATGCATGCCACAGCCTAGCTCCATGACCGTACATGAAAACTTCCGCCAGATCTCCTGGTAGTTCCATTTGATCCTACTCAAAGATCAAGAAAAATAAGAATCGAATAAGCTCCCAAGTGCGTTTCCACACGGTTAAGCAGATATTCGACCGACCAATCTGGCTGGGGAAAGGCTTGTTTTTCCTATTCGAAGATCAATCAAACAATTTGAGGCTGAGATGAGAGGCCTAAACAACTTGCGGCTAGAGAGAGCCTGATTGAAGAGAGGAGTCATCCGAATGTGTAAGGCTTGATAAGAATTGCATGAATTTTCAACAGCAACGATGAAAACAATACCAAGAAAGAAAAAACTCCAGTAAACAATTCAACTAACCAAATATAAGATCAACATGATTGGGCATGTAATCGAGGCTCATAACCGACGGAATACAAGTTTGTTAGACTTGTACTAGTCCAAAGTCACGCAGATATCACATCGACCTTAGTTGTAACAAGACAGTTTTTGCTCAAGACCAAGTTTAATGCACACAAAAACCAGTATTGAGGAGCACATGAGAGATAGACTGTATGCTAGGATGTGAAACCCCAGCATCCAGACATGAGAGGACCTTAACAAGACGGCTAGGAAAAGCCCCCTCTTCGTCCCACACGCTACATGCCGCCTTGAAACACGTAAGTCGTCTTGGTATACAGGAGAGTTTTTGTTAACTCGGCGCTATCTGACTGGCACGGCTGACATACGCTCCATCAACGGCGCACAGGCCGCGCAGAACTTCGGAACCGTCTGACGGTCTACCGTCCGATCGGTCACCATTCTACTGGTGAGGCGGGCTGGAGTCAACCAGTTTGAGTAAAATAGTAACAGCGGAGGCTGAACATGCATGACCGGTCGCATCATCTCACGATGCTGGAGAAGAGCTGAAGGAGAGCTGAAGGAGAGCTGAAGGAGAGCTGAAGGAGAGCTGAAGGAGAGCTGAAGGAGAGCTGAAGGAGAGCTGAAGGAGAGCTGAAGGAGAGCTGAAGGAGAGCTGAAGGAGAGCTGAAGGAGAGCTGAAGGAGAGCTGAAGGAGAGCTGAAGGAGAGCTGAAGGAGAGCTGAAGGAGAGCTGAAGGAGAGCTGAAGGAGAGCTGAAGGAGAGCTGAAGGAGAGCTGAAGGAGAGCTGAAGGAGAGCTGAAGGAGAGCTGAAGGAGGTCTCAAAGTGACATGAAATGAATCAATAAGGTGGCTCCACTGATCGCCATGCTCTCCTACTGCTCTCACTTGCGTCCCATCTATTTTTCCACTTTCTTCGTCCTTTTCCTGTGCGATTGTTCGAGCTCCTGGCAACACAGAGCACAGATCTCGTCAAGAGCGATCGTTCAAGGGACCAACTCACATGTCTGCCTGTCCATTCTTGACGTCAGGGGAGGGAGGAACAAGAAGGCTAGCAGATCTTCTCTCGCCTCGAAGAAGCAAAAGCATGTCAAGAGGAGAAAACTCTCCTCGGGGGCGGCATTGAGAGATGAGATGAGAGCGACAATGAGGAGGAAGCCGTTCTCTCGCCACTGGACAGCAAGAGGGAAGCCCAAGGATGATGGAATGTCGGAAGAGGAGGAGGAAGCAGTGAGCCAGGAGCAAGACGAAGAGCTCTCCGATGATCTCGTTCCCTCGCAAGAGCCAGAGACTGACTCTTCTTCATCCCCTGATACAGTGAACTTCGACATGGATGAGGAGGATGAGAGCTTGGGCTCAGGTGACGAATTGAGCGAGTCTGAACTGATCGAAGTGGATGGAGGAGGAGGAGAAACTGGTCGACTGCCGTCGGGATGGGAAGCCATCGAAGTGAATGGGATCAGGTGCTTCATCGCAAGCAACTCTTCATTGCTTTACTCCAGCAAAGGAAAAGAAATCGGACGACTGAACCTCGAGGAGAACGTAGTGGAATGCGACGCTGAGCGACACGCTGACTCTCCTCTCCGACTCAAGATGCCTGTCGATCATGGAACCTCAACATCCGCTGCCCTGAAGGAGGCAGATGAGAAGGAGCGAGAAGCTCCTGCGGTGGATGCCCAAGCATGGTTGGAGGTGGTGAACCGGAAGCGGAGGGAGATCATGAAGAAGAAAGGAGCGCTACCTAAGTCAGGTTTCATCACGTTCAAGGACGAGGAGCTTCCGGGGTCTGACTTTCCCCTCCACGTCTTCAACATCAGAAAGAAGCGGTGGGAGGGGAACTTTGCTGGAGGAAGAGATAAGTTGATGGAGCGATACACCTCACATTTCTTAGCGGAGCACGATGCTAAATGCGCTTCATCCAAGAGATGGACAGATGGAGCACCGGGCAAAACAGACAGACCAGCATCAAATGCTTCAGCGAGCCAGAACCGAGTGGCATCAAATGCTACTGCAAGTGAGACGAGGAGGAAGAAAGGAAGACGTGGTGACGAAGAGTCAGTCGACAAGATGCAGATGGAGAATGGAACAGTTGAAGCAGAACAACAGAAGATCGAACTTCTTCCTGCTTGGAAGCATCAACAACAGAAGATCGAACTTCTTCCTGCTTGGAAGCATCTTCTCCTCCATCCGCACCTCCATTATGCCCTTTCTCGTCTAGGGTTTGTCACGCCTACAGAGATTCAGAATCGATCAATATTGGCAGCCATTGAAATGAGGTGAACCGACTTTGACTTGTACCTACCTTTATCTGACTTGTTACGTTTCTCAAGGAGAGACGTCATCGGTATCGCTGAGACAGGAGCAGGAAAGACGCTCTCGTACGGCCTTCCAATTCTTCACCACCTCCTCTCTCTCTATGAAGAACGAGCCTCACGCACAAACTCCTCCTCTTCCTCAAACGCGCAGGCCTGGCAAATAGAAGCACTCATTGTCTCCCCTACTAGGGAGTTGTCCCTGCAAGTCTGTCATCACTTGAACTCTGTACTTCAGCTCGCAGCTCAAGCCACTAACTTCTCCTCCTCCTCCATTTCTTTTCCTAAGGCGATCCCTGTGGTCGGGGGCCTGGCAGAAGTCAAGCAAGAAAGGCAGCTTTCTCGTCACCCAGCCATTGTTGTGGGCACACCGGTGATCTCTTCTCTCTCCTTCCACGACCACCTTCTCCTCTTGCAACTCATCCTCTCGCTCTTTCTCCTCCTCCCTTGCTCGCTCTCTCGCTGATTGCAAACGCTCTTCTGCCTCTGACTCTTGAACTTCTCCTCGTTCGTTGGTTTGGAGTTGACAGGGAAGATTGTGGGAGCTGCTGGAGTCGGACCATGCGGTTCTGCGTCCTGCCATGCTCAAGCTTCGCTTCATAGTCCTGGACGAGGCTGACAGACTTGTTGAGTCCGGGCGGTTCCGAGAGCTTCGGCGACTGTTGGATCTTCTTCCTCAAGCTCGACCGATGAAGCTGTCGGGCAAGGGCATCGCAAGCCCTGCCCCTCTTACTGAGCTGGAGAAGAGATGCACTGAGTCAAGTAAGGGACTGGTGAGGTTGGTCGCCGAGCAAGAGGAGACTTCGGGAGAGGTGGTTGGAGACGAAGTTTCTCCTCCTCTTAGACAAGCCTTCCTCTTCTCCGCTACATTCTCTCCACGTCAACCTCGCTACCTACTCAGGAGGGCGAAGGACTCGCAGGCAGCAGAGAGGGGAAATGCCACTAAGAGGAAAAGGGTGAAGGAAGAAATGGAGCTGCCAACGAGCTACTTCAACATGTTCAAGGTGGCGAGGAGGATCATGAAGATGTCAACCAAGCCGATCCTGATCAACGTGACAACCTCGAGGATCGTCTCGTCGCGAGTCAAGGAGATCGTCGTGAAGTGCAAGGAAGAGGAGAGAGATCTCTTCATCTACTTCTTCCTCCTCCACAACCCTGGTCGCACCATCATCTTCGTAAACCACATCTCTCTAGTTCGACGTCTCGCCGCCATCCTCGCAGCGCTCGATCTCCCGGCCTTTCCCTTCCATGCCTCCATGCAGCAGCGGGCTCGCCTCAAGATGATGGATCGCTTCAGCAGCAGCGGCGACTCGGGGGTGCTGGTGGCGACTGACGTGGCGGCCAGAGGCCTCGACGTCCCGCACGTGCGCCATGTCATCCACTTCGACCTGCCACTCTCTCGCTTCCTCTACACCCACAGGAGCGGCCGAGCGGCGCACCATCCCTCGGCTCCTCGCGGCTACAGCGTCCTCCTGCTCCCTCGAGACGTGCGCGGGTCTCTCAAGAAGGTGCTCAACCTCACCGACGGGCTGCATGGCGTCACCAGAGTCTCCGCCCACAGCGAGCAGTTCGCGCCCTTGCGCAAGCGCGTGCGATGGGCGCAGAAGCTGGCGAAGCTGAAGGAGAGGAGGCAAAGGAAAAGCCGGTCGCAGAGCTGGACGGCGAAGATGTCGCAGAGCCTGGAGGTGGGAGACGAAGCGGACGAGAAGGACGTGAAGGCCTTCGCGGCTGAGTCGAAGGAGATCGAGCGACTGCAGGGCATGCTGAAGACGCATCCAATCCTAACGCGCAACATGACACAGATAGCCAACAGTAAGCTCATAGAGGAGCAGGTCGGAGCCCGAGGCCTTCGGACAGGGGCAGGAGCTCATGGACTGTCGGTCTCGTCTGCTCCTCATCGAGCCGCGATCGTGGGAGGAAGGAGGCAGATGCACAAACTCAACAAGTTCCTGGAGGTGAGCGACAAGACTTGAGACAACCAACCCCCGTGATGGCAACATGGCTGCCCTCCTCTCACCCACTCCCTCCTTCCCCTCATACCTCGTCTTCTCTCTGATTAATACTCGTCATGAACCTCCCTTCGTTCTCGCTTCCTTCTCGCGCTCTCTCTCCCTCTAAGTCGCTTCCTATCCCTCACGTGAAGCTTCGAGGCCTCAGACGAGTTGCTGCCCAGGGCTCTTGCCATGTCCTGCAGGCGGAACAAAGAGGGTCTAAAGATTTCAACGCTTCATTTCTCCCCGCTCGTGTAGCGCCACCCCCATTCTCAGCTCCATCTCAGCAAGCTCCTCCTTCAGCTTGCGAATCGCCTGCTCCAGCAGTCAGAGCAGCAGGCGAGGAGGATCAAGTGTGAGCGGGAGCAAGGAAGGGATTGCCTTGCGCATGTTGTCTGTGGGGCTTCGGTCATGCACGTTGACCTCCAAGTCCTCCACACGGACTCTCGAAGCCTCCAGCTCCTCCGCCACCTGGTCATGATGTGCCTGCAGCTGGACTCTTGCTCAGATTTCCTGCGTATCTCCCTCCTCACCCCCTTGTTCTTCAACAGCCATGCATCTCGGGCCTCCTCTGATTTTACCTGTGCGATCCTCTCGTTTTCGCGCTCGAACGAGGCACTGACTTGTGTGAGCTCCCTGTGAATTGTTCTCAGCTGGACTCCTGCAGGCTCTTCACCCACTCTGCTGCCTCTCTCAGCTCTCTGATCGTCTCTTGGTGGTCCTACAAGCATCTCATCAGAATCCGCCTGCCTCTCTCCCGCTCTCTCACATTCGAGTTCAGTCCTCTTTCCCTCGTCTTGATCGAGCTCGCCTCCTGCTGGCAAGTCTCTACCACCCCTCGCAGCTGTAAACCTGCCAAGAAGCTCATGGAGACGATTCGACGCAGATGCACAAGCACTCTATGCTGCCTTCCTCTCTTCCCTCCTCCTTCACGCCCCAGACGTCTCAGCATTCAAACCTCTACCTTCTCTCCCTCCTCCCACATCTGATCCTGTCTCACCTATCTCCTCCGCCCTTGCCCGCTGCATCTTCACGTCCCTCGAGAGAGCCTGCGGACTTCCTTGACGGGCCAGAAGGCGAGTCTCCCTCATACACCTCTATCCGCATCCTCCACTCCTCCTGCTGTCGCTCCTGCAGGCTCAACCTGAGCATGACGTCAGCTGTCTGCTCCTCTCCCCAGCAGCGGGTCGACCTTTCCAGGTCCTCACTCGCGCATGGCACCCATGGTGGCTGCACAGCAACCAGATGGTCCTGTCCCTCCCCCTCCGCCTCCTCCTCTGCCTCTCCGTCTAGAGCTTCCGGCCTTGAAGCGAGTCACAACAAATGGAGGGAGGGAGGGGATAACGACCATCCGCACGCGCTGTCCTCCTCCTCCTCCTCCTCCATTTGGCCGATCTCTTCTTCCTCTTCTTCCTCACGCGCTGAATGCGACATGACCGCGAGCTTGCGTTTCATTCTCGCCATGGTGAGGAGAAGGAGGGAGTGAAGGAGGGAGCAAACGGCTTCCCCGTAGCCCCTGTGGCACATGCTCAGCCAGAACAGCGATCAGGAGAGGTTGACAAGGAATGACAACCAGGAAGAAACCATGGGAAGGGTATGAGGGGAACAGGAGCGGGAGAGGAGAACTTCTCACGTCTTCAGTCGAACAGGAGAGAGGTCGTTGCCGATGCCGAGCTGCTTGCAAGCGTCGAGGAGGAGAGAAGAAACGTTGAGAGGGTCGAGAGTCTCGAGGTGCCTGCTGCCGTCCCTGCTGTCCTCGCTGACTGAAACATCGTTGAAGCGGAGGAGCCAGAGGACAAGGCTAGTGAAATATTGAAACTTGATGTCATGATGAGGATGAGCATGCGTGAAGAAACTTGGTGTGAGGGGAGGGAGGGCTTGAGCACGACAGAGAGCCTGCAATAAGATGGAATGTCGTCAGATTAAGAAACAATTTAGAAAAGGAGATCAGGAGGAAGTTCTGAAAGATGAACCAGTGCAGCTGGCTGACTAGGATCAAAGTGAAGAACATTATTTCAGCGACGATGACAATGACGATGACGATGATGAAGATGAAGATGAAGATGAAGATGAAGATGAAGATGAAGATGAAGTGGCAATGATAGGGTATGACTTAAAATCTTCCATAGCATCACACAACATCAAGTCAACTTGTGTGTGCTTGTGTTCACCTCGTAGTCGAGAAGTTGGCAGAGATCAATGATCTCTATCTGCACAAGGAATCAGGTCAAGATGATTCATGACACAGCCACAAGTGTGACTGTCTCACCATCATCATCAGTCCACTCGGTCGCTCCTGGTAGGAGTCGCAGGCCATTTGAGCGAAGGCGAAGGCCTCAGAAGCTGCGAGGTGAAGACGAAGACAGAAGGAAGGAGTCAGTGCCAGAAAGAGAAGCTGAAATTGAAGGAGAGGAGGAGGCGAGGACTACTCGAAGAGAAGAAGTCCGTAGGAGGAGGAGCAGGAGGAGGTGGAGGAGGAGGAGAAAGGAGGAGGGGAGAGGGAGGAGGAGAAGGAGGAAGGAGAGCAGACACTTCACCACATCTTCTCTCACCCGTGGGCCGTTTCTTCGGGTCCTTGTGCAGCATCCTGTTGACGAGGCCTCTACTCGCACAATCAAAGGAGAAGACTTGGGGTTTAGGGTTAGAGGCGTCGGTTCGGCACCTGAGCTCTTGAGAGAACAACTCGGGGAGAGGAGCGAAGTCTCCATCGTTGATGCGCTTGAAGATGTCGTAGAGGTTCTGCCATACTGTTACTGGGGATTGACAGACGATGAAGCAATCGGACACGATCAGGCGAGGGGGAGGCTGACTCAGACGATGGAGATGAAGAAATCAGAATCCAGAGGTTCAGAGAGATCAGATGTGCAAGGAGAGGAGGAGGAGGGGAAGGGGAAGGGAGGTCGGGGGGAACCTGGTTCGGCGCCTCGAAGGGGGAGGAGAGAGTAGCAAACTCATAGAGGAGACATCCCAGACTCCACATGTCAGACTGCGAGACCGTGAGAGCAAGAGGAGGAGCTTCGCCGAGACCTTGAAGTCGTAGCCCTGCCCGTGAAGAACCTCAGGCGACATGTACAAGGGAGTTCCGACCTGCCGGCATCAATGAGACCAGTGAGAAGGAGGCAGAAAGGGAGAGCAAGAGAAAGGAAGGGAGGGAGAAGATCACTGTTTGATGGGTGATAACGAGAGAACAACAGAGAAAGGGAGAACATGAAATCAATCTTTTACCTTGGAGAAAGTCTCGACCGACTGAATGCAAGTGAGCGTCATGAACAATAACAAAAATATATTGTCATCATCAACAAGAGCAAAACAAATGACCAAGAAAATGACGACGAAACCAACACGAGGATGCCAATAAGATTTAGAGCGAATAAGAAGGACAGTGCAAGTGACCTCAGCAGAGAAAACTCTTCCTAGTCCAAGATCGCCAAGCTGAAGAAATTGTCATACACCTGTATTCGTCATCAATCCCAAGAAGCGAACCTTCAAGACGTTGTTTGCAGAGATGAAAATGTTAGCTGGCTGTCAAATCAGGTGAGCACAAAGATGATGAGGGGCAGTTAGGCTAGACAATAGGAGGAGGAGGGTTTAAGTATATCACCTTGATGTCTCTGTGCATCATCCTCTGCTCGTGCATGTGGGCGACAGCACCAGCAACCTGCAGGAAGGAGAAGCGCATGAGGCAAGTTGGTCTCAGAAAGATGAAGGACAAGACCTGCAGGAAATATTTCCAAACTTCTCTCTCCTCAAATGGAGCTGAAGACAAAATCATTCCCGTCCTGTTCATCTCTCTTCTCCTGCTCTTACCTGTCGCTCTTCTCAGGAGCCTTCGCAAGTCTCCATTCTCAGCCCACTCAAACACGATCTGAACAAGCAGATCATACATATCATTTCTCTCAGTACCACCTCACCATGAGCTCATTGTTCTCGATGAAGGCGTCGAGATACTCGATGAGGTTCTCGTGCTTGCTGATGCTTCGCAGCATGTGAACCTGCGACAGGTCCTTCACTCTCGTCGCTCTCTTCCCGACTAGTTGATCTACTTCTCTCAGACATTTGTTTCGGCTCTTCGCGTCCATCATGTCGAAGATGTTGATCTTCTTCAGCGCCACGTTCCTGCAGCCATGTGCTCACCCTCTCCTCTCCTCCACCACCCTCCTCCTTCACCTGCCGTCTGACATCCTCGCTCGAAATACCACTGAGAACTTTCCACTGCCTATCTAAGCACGCACAAGATGAGGGAAAGAAGTGAAAGTGTGTGTATGCGAGGGGGGAGGGAAAGATAGAGCAAGGGGGGTGGGGGGAGTGTGCGCAACAGATTACGAGTGTGTGCAAGGACCTTCTTGCCGACGGCATACATCTGCAGGCGACCTTGGTTGACAGGGATTATGTCTTCCAGGTCTGACAGGCTCTCGCTCTCCTTCCTCGTCCCTCTCGTCGCTGGCCTTCTCCTCGTATCCACATTGGGTGAAGCCCCATGGAGCTGAGGCACCCCCTCCTCCTCCTCCTCCTCCTCCATGTCTCAGACAACCTTCGAACTCAGTCTCTTCTCATGCAAAGGGAGTATTTGACCAAGGGGTCGGTCGTTCATGTCAGGGGCAGCAGCGGGTATATCTTCATCTCAAGAGCATGCTGCGGCATCTATTCATCTCTTTCAACTTCGTCGCATAGCAAGAAGATCCTAGCTCTCTCACAACGCTCTCAACCGCACCCTCGCCAAAGGATATCTGCTCTCCTCCCTGCTCTCCTCCACAATCCTTCTATTGACTGAAAAAGAAAGGCACAATCTACCGTACGGTTTCATCACCCAATCCATCCGGGCAAGTGTCTCCCGGCCGGGCCGCCCCGGGCCCGCCGGGGGGGGCGAACTCTCCGACCGTCTCTCTACTAGGCTTCAGGCTCTGATAAACCGTTCAACCGCGGTGTGATGACGGAGCACAAGTTTGTTAGACTTGTACTATGCCAAAGTAATGCCGCATTACTTGGATCGACCTCAGCGGCTCAGTGCAACAAGACAGGTTTTGCTGAGTCAAGACGCACCGTGACGATTGAACCAGAATTGAGGAGCTTTCACATGAGAGATAGACTGTATGCAAGGATGTGAAACCCAAGCATCCAGAAATGAGCCGGGACCTTAGCAAGACGGCTTAGTAGGCCCAGACCGTCTCCTCAGGCTTCCGGCGGAAGTTCGTCAAACCGGCGTACTATGCCATGATTGCCGCCCCAGTTCGATAAACACGTAATGGCCCAGTCGTGTTGGTTTACGGCCGGTTGACTCGGCGCTATCTGACTGGCACGGCTGGCATGCGATCCGTCGTCCGATACCGGGTCCCCCCGCCGGCCGGCCGCCGCCGGCCCCCCGGCCCGCCGCCGGCGGAGAGCCCGGGATCATCATTCATGAGACCGTACTGCCAGGCTGTCTGCCATTTGCTGTAGACATCTGCAACCCGTACAGCTTCGGGGTGTGACATGTTGTACCGTACTGGGTACAGACAAGTACAGGATTTACTCCCGGACTTATTTGGCAGTGGTTCCGGGACTAGGCTCAGTACGCTCAGTGACATCACTGTAAGTCAGTGCGAAGCCTGATAAAAGCCTCGGACGGGCGAGGACAGGTGTCTCGATCGTGTTATTGTACAGATTAGAGATCCTTCCAGATGACTTCAGTCGTAGGCCTCCGATTCAACATATTCATTCGCGCAAGGATGATAGTCAATGAGTGTTTCAGGCCGCTTGCATCTCAGTGTGCATCATGATGAGAAGGGCCGCGCGTGTCCACCCTGCTGGGCAAAACCTTATGCTCTTGTCCTGCATCTGTCAGACACTTTGAGATATCTGCGAGGTGTTGTATTGAAAAGTGTTGACTAAACGTTTGATACGCAAATTCAAATTTCATGACCAATGCAATTTATTGGATGGTGCAAATCATATTTTGCTAATGATTTCAACATTAAGAGACCATTGTTTGAAAATCACGCAAACCTGATAAAAAACCCTTCCTCTCATAAAAGGGATTGAGTTGGGTGGGTTACCACCCACCACCTGTGATGCAGGTATGGTAAGGTGCAGGTAATCACCGACGGCAAAGGGGGTACCAGGGGGAAGTGAGGTACCGCAGAACGAACGGACCTACTCGCTGCATAACGGCTAGTTTTTTGAAGTACCCCACCACCACCAGCAATGTAACGGCATCGGCATGATTGTTGCCCCGCTTCAGGTGGTACCAGAATTCGATTTGAGCAAATATTTGTGGTACAAAGTGGACCTGCGACCCTCTCCCCTCCGCGAGGGCTTGATAAAGTCCCTCGGACACGTGAGGGTGTTGCCAGGGGTAGCTCCACGCTTGCGAGCATGCAGCGTGCGCGGGCATGTTGTCTCCAATGGGGGGTGAGATAGTTGTTTTCTTGCGTTTCCTTTTCTTCTCACAGACTTTTGAGCAGGCAGCCTTGCTTCTTTTGAGCTTGTTCGCTGGGAGGACGTTGGCAGCCGTGGTGACATCGGGAGGCGTGAAGTACACGGTCGCCGAGATGGCTCAGTTGCAGCTGGAAGGAGGTGTCACTGATCTAAAGGCGACCGACATGAAGATCTACTGGGGTTCCTTGGGATCATGGAAGTCGGGCTCGGACATCCTGTCAGCCAACACGGTGATCGAGATCTTCCTCCCCAGGTTCTCTGGAAGCTCCAACCTCTTTGGAGCATACAGATCGGATACCACTGAGAGCACTGTACAATGGCTCAACAATCCATCTGCATCTGTGAGCATCTCGGAGGTGATCAACAAGCCATGGGCTGCCTCGGCATCTGTTTCATCACAACAGGCGGCCACAGGGCCTGGGATAGCCGGATGCTATGGGATCGTGCAAGACCTTTCTTCCAATGCCTTTGATCTCAAGCAGATCAAGGCAAACGCGTTCTCCATGTGCTACTGGGACTCTCAGCGAGAAACGTTGCGACTTTACATGCCGACAGCTCTTCAAATCACCGGCGTGTACATCAACAAGGTGTCTATGTACCAGAACTACGACGTGAACGGGAAGCAGAACGGGCTTGGACCATTGCCACCGATAGGTGGCATTGATGAGAAATGGTATCAGCTCGCCAACGTTGCTTTTTACCAAGCGGAGGGAAATTCTCTTGGGTGTGCTGTATCAGACCTCACGAGCTTCCCTTCTACTCCATGCACAAGTGAATACCTGGTGTACCAAGTTCCCTTCGACCAGTACCGATCTGTGAGGTTTGGGACCGACCATCCTCCCATGCCTGTGCAGAAAGGAGCAGGTGGAGTCGGCACAGTAGCAGCGCCGGCGTTTGTATATGCGGCCGCTGCTGGAAACAACGACGGGCCCAGTCAAGATGTCTGCATCACAGTGACATTGATCAGCTCGGCGACAATCTACTCTGTTTCCGTGAACCCAACCTCAGTTTCACTCACCGGACTGTCGGGCTCAGCAACACCGAGTGGCAACATTGACCTCTACCAGTCCAAATGCCAGTGCGAGGCTGGCACACCGAACGCATTCGTACCTGCCAAGTTCCGATCAACAGGGACCAACAAGGTTTTGAATCAAGCTTATTTCGACTCTGCTGGAACCATGTCATTCGAGCTTGTACCTGGCAACTACATTCAGGCTGGAGAGGTGGTAACCTTCACGTTCAAACTCAAGACTGGATCCAATACTCAAGCTTCCCAGAGTCTCAAAGCTGTCTTGTCTGGACAGATTTGCCAAAACAACGACCTCTGCACATCTTCAACTTCCGTGTCTGCTCAGATGAGCAATGATGTCTCACCGTCTTCCAAGATCATCGAGGTGGTCGGCAACAAGCTGAGGACGTCGATCTTTCAGAGTTCCAGTGATCCCGGATCGCTTACGCACGTGTTTGTTACTATGACACCAAACTTCAATGTCGATTCTGGGTCTGTGATCAGTCTTCAAGGCCTCTGTGGAACCCAGACCAACAGTCCAAAGATAACTGTGATGAGCAATCGACTGAACGGTGGCATCCCTTTGACGGACATGTGCTCTTCTGCTGGCAATCCTACGGAGATTGATATTGGTGACCCGACCTTGCAGGCCGTAAGTCCCAAAATGGACTGGTCGCTTGGTGGAGCGCTGAAGATCACTGTGTCAACGATTATGACTGCACGCAACACGTATGTCTTGTCGTGGGACTGGCAGAATTCTAACAGTGGCAATGCTGCATGTCCTGTGACAGTGACAGTTTCGAAGGGCTCTACTGTTGTGAATGCAGAAAGCGTGGAGAACATGGGCAACACTGTTGGATACGTCGCCGCACCTGGCTTTATCAAGTACAAGATCGGACAAACAACCACTCGCCCTGATGTCACAAACTACATTTGCATCACCCTCCGGAGTAACTACAGGGTCTCCACGCAATCCAACAGTGCAGGACAAAACAACTTGGCGCAAATCACTCTGTCAGGGTTGCAAGGCTCACAGACTGTCACACAGCCAATCATCACAGCCTGCCCGTCATTCAACTGGGACACCATGACACTCGAAGCGCCATCGAATCCTCCCACATCCCACTTCATTGATGTCATCAATGGTGGAACGTTGCACAGAACTACCAGCTGGTCTGCAGGCACAACTGTCTTGACGGTGAATCAGGATGACACAGCCAACAACATGTTCTATTCCATCCCTCAACAGCAGGACATCAAGTTTGCGATCGTATTGAAAAATGCTGTGTCGGCTAATCCATGTCAGACTGTCTCATTGAGTTTGTCAGCTCTCGGTCCAGGAGACAATCAGTTCACGCAGAACGTGCAGATGGTGCAGAACTCGGTCGACAGAGCACTTCAAGATGGTGAAACGGATGGGGATGTGTGTGTGCTCAAATCGTACGCTTATGGCTTCCCGACCAGGCTGATATCGCAGTCAACGTCGGTCGTTTCCAAATCCAACACGATCACGATTTCCTTGAGATCGAACATGTACATGGACAGTACGTCTTTCAGCCCCGAAATTACCATATCGGGGCTGACTGGTACGAATACACCTGGGACCTCTTTGACGGCAACAGCTGCAGCAGATCAATATTTTCCAAACATTGAAAAAACGACCTGGAGCTCTACGAGTGGGGAGATGGTAGTCAAACTTGCCCTGGGCTCCTGCCAGCTCCCTGTCAAGGGCCAAGCGACGAACTGCATGTACCCTGGGTGGATATATGTTCTCCAGTTCAAGCAATTTGTGAATGGGGACAACGAGCAGTCTGGTCCGACCATAACGGTTCAGTCGCAATTTGCGCAGAACAAACAGGCCAGTTCTCAGGCAATGATTGGTCCCCTTCGAGGCGATCATCAAGCGTTGTACCTCACCCGAAACCTGTTTAACAAGTATGAGATTGGGCAGCTCAACCCATCACCAGCAGCCATGAATCCGATCTGCATCACGTTGCGTCCAAGCATTGACATTAACGTGCAGACAACGTTCACTCTCACGGGAATGACGATGTTTTCTTCTGGCACAACTGTGAATTTGTATGATGAATATGCAA